AAGTAGGGAAGGGGAGTGTTAGAGGGAGGAAAGGAAAGTTGGAGGGGAAAGATGGGGTGTATGGAGGATGGAAGTGTCAGGGGGGGTTGTGAATGAGTTGTGTTTTCCTTTTTATTTTATTTTATTTCTTTTCTTATAGCAAATATCCAGTATATAAGTGATTGTAAAATGGAATCTGAAAATGAATAAAATATATATTTTTTTTTTAAAAAAGGAACACGGGAATCAGCCATCTTAGACTTAATTGTCACTAACAGAGAGGAAATGATAGAAGGTGTTGGAACTTCAGGAACTTTGGAGGCAAGTGATCATGTAATATTGGAATTCAACGTTATGCAAACACAAGTAGTAGGACAAAGTCAAACTAGAGTCTTGGACTTTAAGAAAACTAATTTCAATAAATTTAGAGAGATCTTGGAAAGGATTCCATGGATGAGAATCCTCAAGGGGAAAACAACTTAAAAGATTGGGAAATTTTGAAAAGTGAGATTATAAAAGCCCAGTCTAGCACAATACCAATGAATAAAAATAACAGCTCTCAAAAGAAACCAGCATGACTGCATAAATAATTTTCCGACAAATTGAAAGACAAAAAGGACATGTATAAAAAGTGGAAAGAGGGTCAAATAGCTAAGGCAAAATATCAGCAAATAACCTGAGCCTGTAAATATGAAGTGAGAAAAGCGAAGTTTCATAAGAAACAAAGGCTTGCAACAAAAATAAAAAAATAAAAGCTTCTTCCAACATTTTTTCTTAAAAACAAGAAAAAAGTCAAGGAAACCATCCATTGCTGGGAGAAGTGGCAAGAAGGTGATAAGCAACAGGGAGAAAGCAGAATTACTTAACTCATTTTTTGCAATTGTCTTTACACAAAGAGAAAAAACAGTCCAACCCATCAAAAGCAGCACCACAAAAAATAAAAATAAAAGATTAGGGTTGACTTCCGGTGGGGGTGTGCCTGCAGGAGCTGGCTCTTAACAGCTCCTGATTCTCGGTTGCGTTAAACTGTCTGAACGGCAATTCATCAGCTGTCTGACAGCTTGTTTTCCTTTTTCTTCGGGCTTAGAAGATAAGGTGAGATAATTGTGCTGGGGCAGCATGCCAATTAACTTCCTCAGACTATAAATCTGGGGCGGGGATGGGGAAGACATCCAACAGCAGAATTCTCTCTGTGCCAAGAATCCTGCTGCATTTATTCGCAGCACAAAGGCATCCACTCACTCGCTGCACAAAATCTGATTTATTGAATCCAGGATGAGCAGAGCCTACACATGTGAACTTTCAATTGTATGTATTAATCCTTAGCTTCATTTTTTTACAAGAATTCCTTCTGATAATTTACTAGTTAAAGAGGCATTCAAAATGGCGCCGAGCGGCTTTGTAGTTGTACCGGTCAGACTTTGAATTTCTACGGAACTTAAAACTTCAAAGAAAAGGAAGTGATTTATTACTAAACTAAACAGTAATTGCTGTACAAAGTAATTGCTAGGCAAAAGGTGCCCCCCTCCTTCTAATGTCTCAAAAAGTGCGGGAAACTCCCCCGCTCCTGGTACGAAATTACAGTCATTACTTCCCCCCCTCCATTGTTGCAGGGGAGCAGTTGACTAAAGAAATTTTTCAGAAAGAACTGGCTGAAGCTTTTAAAAACCACGCAGTTGTGATGGAAACAAAAATTAAGGAGGAGATATCTGTTGCTCATAAAGAACTGTCTGACAAATTTGAGACTTGGGTTCAGAAGNTTTAATGTTGTACGCCACCCTGAGTCCTTGGGAGAAGGGTGGCATATAAATCTAATAAACCTAAACGTTATATTCCCTCCTAGCATCATTTCAGTTTCTTTAAATATCTGGGGTAGATTCGCTTTGTGCAGGTATTGTTTAACTCTTCCCTCCTCTATGTTCTCTTGTTCATACAATTTTCCATAGTAATCTTGTATAATTTTTTTCTTCTCTCTATTTCCATGGCAAATTTGCCCTTGATCGTCTATTAATTGCATTATTTTTCTTGATTCTCTCTCTTTTTTCAGTTTATACACTAACCATCTACCTGGTTTATTTGCATTTTCAAAATAATTCTGTTTAGGACCTCTAAGTTTTTATGCTAGTTCTTCCTTTTCCATTAGCCGCATTTTATGTTTAATTGTATCCATTTTTATTTTAATGTCCTTTTTTGTGGAAGTTTCTGTAGCTCTTTTTCAAGACTCTTGTAATCATCCTCTAATGTTTTAAAAGCTTGTCTTTTCTTAGTATTTCTTTGCTTTGTATAGTCTATTATAGGCCTTCATCGTATCCCAAAGTTTCTGCATTGATGTCCTCTTTTCTGTTTTCTTTAAAAAAGAAAGCCATTCTTTCTCCATTTTCTATCCTTTTCTTTTAATATGATATTGTTTAAAGTCCATCTAGATCTTCTCCTTTGTCCTTTCCATTTAATTGTCATTGGATTGTGGTCTGCCCAAGTATTTATTTGTATATCAATTTCCTGTATGTTGAGAATCAATTCCATTGACATCCATATCATATCTACTCTAGACCATGATGAATGTCTTTTTGAGTAGAAAGTATATTGTCTATTTTTAGCGGTTTTTTCTCTCCATGCATCTTTTAAATCTATTTGTTCTGTCATTTTAAAAAAGGATTTTGGAAGAGTCTACTTTGTTTTATTGTTTTTTGTGTTTTATAGTCCAATTTCTCATCTACTATTCCATTGAAATCTCCCGTCATGCAGATATTAACATAGTCCAATCAATTATTTTCATGTGTAATTTTCTATAAAATTCTTCTTGATTGTCATTTGGAGTGTAAATTGCTATTAAGAGTGTTTTCATATTATTGTCCATAATTTCCACCATCAAGATTCTTCCATCATCATCTGTATAAATTTGTTCTGCTGGAATTGTATCTTTAATATATAAAACCACTCCTCTTTTCTTACATTGTGTCAATGCAGTAAATATTTTCTCTAATTTTGGCTGTATCAATGTTCATGTTGCTTTTTAATATGTACTTCTTGTAGGCAGATGATATCAAAATTTAATTTCTCTAATTTATGAAATGTTTTTCTTCTTTTGATAGCTGAATTAAGTCCATTTATATTAATTGTAATCAATTTTTCTCTTCCATATTTATACTTTATAAGAAGAATTTGCTGCTCTAATAGAGCTCAGTTTTCATTGTTCTCTAGGCTCCACAATGCCGCCTACCACGCTTTCTTCTTTTTCAGTCACTGATAGACATTCCTCTTGAAATTCAATTAATGATTCTTCTTTTCTTTCCCTCTAAAATATTCTGCATAAAATAGTT